TTACTTCGATATCGATCGCACCCACTGTAGCTTGAAGGACCTTGGATGGCTGGCCAGACCCAACAAGAAAACTTTAATCGGTTGATGAAAATAGCTTCCTAAGAAGGGCCGAAACTATGTGTGTTTTTGACATAAGCCTGAATCATCTGGTAGTTTATCATAATTTTCGATTACCCATTTGGGCTGGTTTACACATTCAAGTTATTATTACAACACTTACGTTTCAAACCGGATCTGCTCGTGAAGAAAGAGAAGACTCCGAAGAAGCCGTCGCTTAAAGTTAAACAATGTAAAGTATAAACTCTGGCTGTCAGTGAAATTCCTCTTCCACGAATTGAAACGCAGAAGTTTTATCGACGAAGCTGCGCCATGTGTCAACAGGAAGGAAGAAAAAAAAATTTCTGCTTATATCCCATAATGCACCACTCCTTGCACCATTCTCACCAATATTTTAATTTATTTCTTCACAGGCAGGCCCCTTTCTTCTCTTAACGGCCTCCGGCCAAAAGTAATTTCGTAAAAAGACGCTTCGAACGGCCCATGAAGGCTGAAAAATATCACAAATACGTCGATTACAATTTCTTTTAACTTAATTGAGATATTCAGACCAAGATGTAATTTAGATATGCAATTTTCAGAGCTTTATTATATGAATAAACATAAACATATATAGACCTGTTGGGGTTCCATGTTCCGGTACGAGTCAGCACTAGGGTGACAAACCCTCACGTCAAAGAATGCCGCACGTTGGCACTCCCAGAACCCACGAGCATGAATGTCTAGCCTCGCATCAGATCCTATTTTGGATCCTCTACTCAGCTGTTCACCTGAAATATCTTGGAGGCTCGATCTCGACATCGCTACATACAGAACTTAAGAGTTCGGCCTCTATGTCTCTCAGGTCGTTGTGTCGCTGAGTAATAAACCTTCCCTGTTTACGTATCATTGCATGGTCTACCGTAAAGGTACCCCCGCATACACAAGTGGAGGGGAGATCATCAATCGGCCAGTCGTAGCGCAGTTTAATAGCGTCACGGAACTCTCTCTCATTCAGGGTGAATCCTAGTTCTTGCTGTAATTTTTCCGGCAATCGCAAAAATCGTGACTTCGAAATTCTGCTCTCGTTGGACTAATAATGTTCAATTAGAGTATGATAAAAACAAAGGGATATTTTCATTCGTTCATATTCCATGCTTGCTGGAAACTCCGTTTTCTCGCCACTTTTAATTTTGGATTATGCACCACTTCTGAAATTTTAGGCGCAAAGGGTCTTGAGAAAAGTGATCTTGACCCCCTGGGTTGAGTAAGCCCCTAGGGTACCCATTCAAACTGAAACTGCGTATTTCAATTTACGGAAAGAGTTAGAGATCATCGAAAAGCCTCATATCAGAGCAGTAAAAACGTTGAATATTCTCAATTATGATCATGATAAACGTACTTCTTCTAAGTATGTGGTATCTTGTTGATTCTGTGGTTCAGAGCAGTCAATTTTAGCTCCACTGAATAATTATGCAATACAGTCAGACGAGAATAGCCATCGAGGATGTCAATCAAAATTAAGGAAAATAATTTAAGCTTATGTATGTTCCCCATGTTAGAAATTTCCTATAAATGGTCGCACCGTTTGTGAAGTTATTCTGTGGTTATCGGTATCTGTGTGACTGTGGCATAGAGAAACTTTGCGTTGTGCTACACCGCATACCTTCGTGTGCACCAAACCGCGCCCGCGATTATTTTCGCCATGGCGGCGAAAGAGATAAAAAATACCCTGAAAAATGCCCGAGAGTGTATCAAGAACAAAGACTATAAAGAAGCTTTCAAGCACTGCAAGGTACTGTTTACAATAATTCATTACTTCGTGTCCAATTAATTTTTACAATTTGTTGTCAAAAGTTGCCATAAAATTTACGGTAAAATTTTCTGGTGACAGGCACGCGTCGATCAGTATATTTACGTTCTTAATGTGTGGGATAACAAATTCTGATTATGCCTCTCTTGTTCTCGAATTTGAATTTATTACACTCTCAGTTCTTATTTGTTCTTACTGCAGCATAGTGAGAGAAGCGTTATTGCATTAAGTACATTTACTTCAAACTGACTTTTTTTACAGGTCGTTTTGAAGGCTGACAAAACCAATTACAACGCCTTAGTCTTCTTTGGAAAATGTGCATCAGAACTGGGCCAGCTCGACCAGGCCCACGCGGCTTACCAAAAGGCAGTTGAATCTGATGATACACAGCCCCTTGCTTGGCAGGTAGAATATTTTTTTGTCCTTTTTAAAAGAATCATTTCCTTGTAGGAAGATCTTGGTTTATCAGACATAGTTTGATGCTACACTGGTTTGCAGATTTAATGAAGCCAAGCCTCCAAACAAAGGCGCTGGTGGTAACGCCGATTAGTGGTGATAATTTTAGAATTATCCCACCCAATTGTATGGTTGGTTAGGCAAGTATGCTCCGATAAAGCTGAATTTTCCTTTTTGCAAAGAAAAACCGCTTTTTGGTGCCCTTTTAACCGTGTACCAAACTGGCGTTTGGTCTGTCCGATGTACTCGTTGTCACAGTCATTGCAAGGAATAGAATAAATGGCGTCGGTTCGTTGTTCTTTCGTGACAGGATCCTTAGGTTTGGCGAAAATATGCCCCAAAGTCTGAAAAGGTTTTTGAGCAACTTTAACATTGTGGCTATTCAAAATTCTCTTGATGGGTTAAGTAACACCCTGTATGTAAGGAATAACAGCAAAACCAGTCGCTGGTTCCCTTTCATCAAGAGCGTTACTATTTGTAACTGGTTTTTGGCCGTTACGGAGAAAAGTTTTTGTATAGCCATTTGCCTTTAGGACATTGGAAACATATTTCCTCTCCTCAGCCTAACCTTACTTGCCTAACCAACCATACAATTGGGTGGGATAATTCTAAAATTATCACCACTAATTGGCGTTACCACCAGCGCCTTTGTTTGGAGGCTTGGCACATTAACTCTGCCCACGCTCCTTTAAATCGTGACGATGGCGGTCTGCTTCCTGACGCCTATTTACACCTCGTCAGAAAAAAGGCCGCTAATTAGTGATCATATAAAAGGACCTCTTGTTGCAGTGTTTAGATCACCCCTGATGAAGGCACTAGACAGGAGTGTCGAAACGTTGGGTCTATGAATTGTAACTTCTTCGGTTACATTCATTAAATCTGCAAGCCAGTGTAGCATCAAACTATGTCTGATTGTCCACCTGGTTGCCGTGTGAACTTTAATATATCTTGGTTTCTGTTGATCAGGTACGATTCACACTATTGGGACTGTTAGTGTTTCTGAAGGAAACGTCAACTGCCATTTGTACCAAAACTGAAACACAGAGATTTTTCTTGGTGATGCACTGTTGCAAGCTTTCCTCTGATATGAAATTTGCTGTGATTTTGTTAGGAGCAGTGTGCAGAGAATGTCAGCAACCATCTGCCGCAGCCTTACACTTTTAACATGATCTTGTTCTGTACTGGATTAACTTAATGCTTTACACCCTAACATCAGTTTGTATATTCTTCATACAGATCTCCATACATTTCCTAAGGTGCTGGAAAGGAGAATTTGTTTAACAATCAAGAAGTCCTTCAGTTTATTATTATTTCCTTTATTCTCATGACCCTAAGTTAATGTGTGATTTAAAGGTGATATTGGAAGGAGACATTACATATAGATGCTAATCACTCTTAGGGGTCAAAAGGTAAAAGATAATATTAAGGAGAAGTAAAAGTTTTTATGTCTGTTTTATATTTTTCATGTCAGGGTCTTGCTGCCCTTTGTGAGAAAGAAGAGAATCCACAGTATAAAGCTGAACTTCCTGGTGTCTATGAGAAATTGTTGCTGGTGTATGAGAGGTGACAGAAGTGATGTGCATACTTTAAGCTCTTATGCTAAAACTAAGACTGCCAATAATGAACCTGTTATGTAAACCAACTAAAAACAGTATTCATTTAAATTCATTTGTGGTAAAATGATTGATTCATCTCTGAATCAGATTGATCATGAAACTGAATGAAAGAAGTACCTTGTTATCAAACTTACTCACATATGATTATAATTTAATTAACCCAACATGTACTCTTAACAATTTTCTCTCTGTTCACAGTGAAAATACAAAATGGTTGGAAATTGCAAGCAAACTGGCTGAAGTTTACGAGAAAAACGATGAAGTTCTGAAGGTATGACCCATGTGAATAACTGATCATTGGTTGTATTCTAGTCCAGCAGGTAATTTAGTGTTAACAACTGAGTTGAAAACATAAATTGGTTATTGTAAAGGGTAAAAAAGCTGATGTTTCGAGTGTTAGCCCTTTGTCAGAGCCATTGATGAAGGGCTAATGCTCGAAACGTCAGCTTTTTTACCCTTTAGGTGGCCAATTTATGTTTTTAACTCAGTTGTTAACACTAAATTACCTGCTGTACACTCCCACCAATGTAGCACCACAGTTTCTTTAGAAACTTAACTCCTTTATGTATTCAGCCTGATTTGTTTGTTTGTTT